CGCGGCCTGGCCTCCTCTCTGCAGGGACGACGGTGGCGAGGGTGGAGCGTGCTGCCCTGCGCCTCCCACCGCCGCCCCGGCCGCGATTTCGCTGGAGAGCGTGCGGTCTTTCAAGGAGGCTCCTCGGGTGGGCCACTCCGCGCCCCCTGGCCCGGGGAGGAACCAGGCCTTTCCAGCACCTCCTTTTCCTGCTCCTCCATCCCAGGCCTCCGCAGACCACACGTAGCGTCTGTCTCCGGGGCTGATCCCGAGGATGGTTGTCTAGTGTGGGAACAGGACCCCGCCCTGAGGAGCGCAGGGGGCTGGGGGTGTTAGATGGGGATCAGCTCTGGCTCGGAGAGGAGGTACTTCCTGCGCCATGGCACTTCCGAGCAGGCGGCAGCCAGTCTCCTGCTCTTAGAGGTGGGGAACTGAGCGCCACACTGCTAGTGGGAGAGCAGGAAGGGACCGGTTGTTGTCTCCCCCAAACCTCTGGCCCCTGACTTAACAGCTTCAGTCGAGGAGGCCCACAGGGGGCAGGGGAACCAAAGGAAAAGCAGAATGGAAACAGACAAAATACCGTGGCTAAATGATAACTGTAACTTATTTTTTAAATTGCTGTAAATGCATATGAATAGCCCGCTCCATAAGCAATCACAGGGGAGGACCAGCTGATCACACCGGAGGGGAGCAGTAAATCCTCACAAAGACAACTGCAGCTGCTGGCTTGTAACCCATGCTGGGGAGGTGAAGCCAGCCCCGGTGAGGTCAGTGAGGTTGTGGGGACTGTTGTGGGAGCCAGTTAGGGAAAAATAAGCCCCCTTGCTGTGCGGGCCAGGTGCTGCATCCTTCCCTCAGCACTGCTGCAGGGTAGGTAGGTGGTACCTAGTGACACTCAGGGAAACTGAGGCCTTGGAGGTGATGTGCCCGGGAGAGACGGGGCCTTGAGTTAGTTGCTTAACTTCTCTGGCCTCTGTTCCTCCGTTAGATGTGGCCATGAGAACACTTGGCCATAAGCTGAGGGCAGATTCCTGGAGACCCAGCAGCGACTGCCGTGCACACCTGGCCTGGGAGCCTCCTGGCTGGGTCCCTGCATCCTGATGGGGCCGAGATGGGAGACCAGGTCCCAGCCTGAGCTCACCCGATACAGTTAGAAAACCTGCTTTTGCCCTTTCCCTCCCTGTCTTCATTTCTTCATTCATTCTCTCTCTGTCTCTCTCTGTCTCTCTCTCTCTCAATGGTAGTGGTCGGGTTTCTAAGTTACATTTTATGGCTGCTAATATCACAAACATAAAGTATAAAACTCATTCTTAATAGATCTGTGGGCAAACAGCATTGCTTACATTTTTCTAGCACTGTACATAGTTTAATATCGTTGAAGGACAAACTGACAATACTAAGCGGTCACCTTGCATATATAATCTTTGACCCAGGAATACCATGTATGGAACGAGGCCTCAAGGAAGTCACTCACCAGACTAGACAGTAATTTGTAGGAAGATATTCATAATGCAGCCACTTATAATTCCGAGGACTTGGAATCACCCTAACATCCAAAATAGAAGAGCAGCTACCAAAACAGGTACACAGAGTCACTCGTGAGAGAGGTCCCATGTGGCCATTAGAGTGACAACCATGTCCAGCACACGTGAGGTAATGCTACCTCCAAGAAGCGAAGCGCAAAGTAGATCGTCCACACTGATGGCATCTGTGCGTGTCCACCGGTGATGTGGAAATGTGTGCTGATTTAAACCTCTCACCGTTTAATATTCTTTTGAATTTTTATATACATAAATTGCTTCAGTTCCTGGTCTTTTTAAAAGAGAGATTATCGGGTTCTTGCCGTGATGTGTTGTGACTTTTCCAGGGCTTTGCCCAGGTAGGTAGTGAGCTCACCAAGGACCAGATCGGGAACTTTAGCCATCGCTCTCTGCACGGTCCCTGACCAGAAAAGGTTTTCCTAAGCCTGCTGTGAAGCTGGGCCCTCAGAGGTGTCTTCATAGTTTCTCCCCTGCTTTCTAGGAAGATCAGCCCATCTACTTGGCGGTGAAGGGAGTGGTGTTTGATGTCTCTTCCGGAAAGGGTAAGTGGCTTGGCATCTGCAATCCTAATTTCTGGGGAGCTTAGAAGCCAGTGCGGGCACTGGGAGCTGTGAGGAAGGGTAGGGAAGGCTGGGCAGGTCCTTTTCCTTTCGTCTGAAGTGCCCAGATTGAGTTTGTCTTTGTTACTAGTTTATTTCTCTCACCTCCCCTGACCTCATTAACTCCAGGCTGCTGCTCAGAAGTCTTCCATGGCTCCCCGCTGCAGCCAAGTTCAGCTTTACTCTAGTGGAGCACTGAGAAAAGTGCTGTTCAGCAAAGAGCTGGCACAGGAAGACATTCTGGAACATTTTAATGCCATTTAGCAGTTTTCCAAACTGTAACTACAAAGGAAGTAGTTTGGTAATAGTTGGTATTTTTTTATTCTATTACTGAATGGAAGTAGACTTGGCTTCCACCAACATTTAAGAAGACTGGATTTTTTTTCTTTTCTTTTCGTTTTTTAGGTATCAGGAATCAAACTCAGGACTTCGTGCTTGCCAGGCAGGCACTTGTGCTGCTGAGCTATATCCCCAACCCCTGGAGGTTGTTCTTGTTTGCATTTTTAATTTTTTATTTGACCTTCTCTAAGAATCACCTCTCAGCCCCCACTGTGACTTAGTCCATATTTTGAGTTCATGGAACCCAGCCTGCTGGGTGGGGTGGGCTGCTGGGCTTGACATTGCCATTTCTTCATCTGTCCCCAGGCCTGGAGCCTTTCTCAGTGTTGAGCGGGACCTTGGAGTCCCCATACTTGCACACCCACACTGCTTGCTTCCTCCCACTCCAGAGTTTTACGGGCGAGGAGCCCCCTACAACGCCCTGACCGGGAAGGACTCCACCAGAGGGGTGGCCAAGATGTCGCTGGACCCTGCAGACCTCACCCATGACACTGTGAGCCCTGTGATGAGCTGCTGTCACGATGCCCCCTACCCTCAGCCGTGGCCATCTTTTTAATGTTTGTGCAATAGTGAAGCTTCTTAGTTAGCCTATTTCTCTCTGGTCCACTTAGGGTGCTGGCTCACCCTGTTCTTGAATTAGATTATCTTGTGTAGAATGCTTAGTAGGAAACCTTCCATGGCTCCCCTTTACGAGAGTCAAGTTCAAACTCTTGTGAACCTGCCGTCCTCACAGTTTGGCCCCAACCTGCCTTGGTGGCCCAGTTGTTCTTACAGCCTCATCCTGGTGGGGCTCCCCCAGCCCCTGTCAGGCTTTCTCATGAGACCTATGCTGGGGCCACTTTTAATAGCTGAATGGATGAACTGAGTTGAGAAGCAAGGTCTCCCCCATGCCTGTATTTCTCTGGAAGAGAAAATAGCATTAAAAAAAAAAAGTAATCCCCGCAGTAAGGCTAAGATTCATCCCAGTGAGGCTTAACATTAAATTGATATGGAGATAAAATAGAAATGAGTCAAACTCTTAAACCACAACATTACAGAAACAAATTATGAAAGGGGAAGTGTGTTAGTCAGCTTTCCATTACTGTAACAAAATAACTAATATCATGAACTCAGAAAAGGTTTATTTTGGCTTACAGTTGTAGAGGTTTCAGTCCATGACCAATTGAACCCATTACTTTTAGGCCTGTGGCAAGACGACACTTACCTCATGGCCTGGAAGCCAAAAAGAGGAGGGGGCTCTTGTCCCGCAGTCCTTCTTGAGGTCATAACACACACACCACCATGACCACCCCACCCTGCCCCAGTGACCCGACTTCCACCCGCCAGGCCCTCCTTGTTAAAGTTCCACTGGCTTTCAACAGCACCCCCTGGAGTCCAAGCCTTTAACACATGCACCCTAAGTACAAAGATCTCCTAGGTCCTAACTACAGCAGGAAATGTACATAACTTATACTAGGAACATGGAGTGTGGTAAGATTAATCATAAGGAGTGCCCAGAGACCACCCCACCCAGGACGAGTGTTCTCTAGAGTTTTTAATTCCTGTATCAGTTAAGCAACAAAAAATGACAACATTGCTCTCCCACACCATAGCCATCTGCACTGTTAAAAAGTCCATTGTCCACTATTCGTTGTTGAGATGTTTTTTCTCTTGCACGCGGGTATGGGGAGGGCAAGGCGGGGATGAGGAAGGGTGAGTGCCGCACACAACTCACTCTTCCATCCCTGTGTTTCCTGGACCGTTTCCCCCCAAGACGGGGCTCACGGCCAAGGAGCTGGAGTCCCTGGAAGATGTCTTCACCAAGGTGTACAAAGCCAAGTACCCCATCGTCGGCTACACGGCCCGGAGGATCCTCAACGAGGATGGCAGCCCCAACCTGGACTTCAAGCCCGAAGACCAGCCCCACTTTGACATCAAGGATGAATTCTAATTCTCACTGCAGGGGCGGCTTCTTGTGTGGGTGAGGCGGTGGGAACAGGAGCTAAATCTCCTGCAAAGCAGTCTGCCTGGAGCCTCCGAGTCACCCGGATCAGAATAAATCAGCCTTTAACCCAGAATAGCAGGTGCCTTCATAGTCCTTGGTCAGGAGCGCCGCTCACCCCGGTGTTCCTGCCTGCACACTGGCGGGGTCCGCATCATAGCCCCAGTCAGAAGCTGCCTGAATGTCAGCATCGGCCATCTGCGCACTGGATTCTGGGTGACCTTTGTGTCTTCTTTATACTTTTCTGTACCTGGCAAATTTTCTATGGTGATCCCATTTATAATAAGAAAAAATAAACTTCCTGTTGTTAAAAAAAGGAGACTTCTTCTACATGAGCTGCCTCCTTGGGGACCTGTCGCACCCCCTGCAGGTTTGTCTGCCTGTCCGTCATCCTGCTTTGTGTCCCTCTGCCTGTGCAGGGACCAGGCACTGGGGCCCACACAAGCAGGATGGCAGGAGTGGGCAGGGATTTGCTGGGAGGGCGTGAGCCATCTGCAGCCCCATGTGGCTGGGAAGAGGTATGGAAGCCAAGTCCAGCGGGGCAGAGCCTGGCCAGGGTCATTCGGAGAATGGTGACAGGCACGCTGGACTACGATCAGGTTACAGGAGGACACTAGGCACGATCTGGGGACATTTTCCTTTTTGGTTGTCATGACTGCAGGAGCTACCAGCATCTAAGGGCCAGGGATGCCGCTGAGTGAGTGGTAATTCACGGGACCCTCAGCCCCCATCACATGCCTGTCGTGGTGAGGCTGAGACACCCCGCATTAGGCTGATCCTAGAAATTTCACAGCAGAGATGACATTCTTGGATACAGTACCTTGTTTATAAAATGAACTGCAACTGCCTTACCCCAAAGAGAATTTTCACGTTAAGCAGAAGAAAGTCCATAATGCTGATCCCCAGACCTTACCCCTAGGGCGTCCAGTTCAGTATATCTAAAACGTGTCCTGGGAACTGCATTTTTAATGAGCAGCCCAGGAAAGTGTGGGACTCACTGTGACAGATGCCCGATGAGAGATGCCCGCAGGTCCCCTCAGGGAGCACCGGCCCAGCTCCTTCCTGAGCACCAGCTTGGCCTTTGCTTTTTCCTTAGCGTGATCCGTGGCTGGGGAGTCTCGAGGCAGATACCTGGGTCACACTCAAGAAGCTGGGGACTTCATGGGCATCCAAGAGGGACAGCTCCAAAAGTACCAGATAGAACCCTGGTCTGGAGTTCTGAAAGTCGCTCATACAGCCCTGTCAGTCTGTAGCAGGACAATTTGCCCTTACTCAGGTGATCAATGAATGAGCGTCTGAGCACCTAGGACCACTGGAGAGATGACCTCTTCCACGCAGGCCTTCACCGTTTCCCGTCACCACGTTGTAGGGGCCTAGAGCTCCCTCCTTAGACCCTGTCTCTGCAGCAGGGTGAGGTCCCCAAATTCAGGCTTAGAGAACCACTGCTCTTCCTACCCCCTCTCCCACCCTTGGCCCCACCATCACAGTTCCCCGCCGGCCCTGGACAAGCCCGAAGGACTGACCTGCACCAGCTGCTGGGTGAGGGAAGGGGCGGGCTAGGCCACCCTAGGAGAAGGAGCAGCCTGGGTCATTTTCGGGGAGAGGGGTGCAGAGAAGGCTGAGGGGGGGCAGTGGGACTGTGGAGGGGCTGGATACTTTACCTGTCCTCACGCAAGTCCAAGTTCAGCATCTCTGATGGATGCTGATGCTTGTCTCCAGTCAGGAGCGTTGCCGATACCGGTGTAGTTTGTGAAGTTCTTCCTGCTGAGTTGCAGCCTCTCTGTATCTGCTTGGGGGAAGCTCATTCCTCTGCACCCCAGAAAGCCAGTCAGTAGCCTCGCCTGGCTGTGCTCTGAGGCCTGCCGCACCCACAGTCCTGCCCATGCAAAGAATCAGAGGCAGCAACTTGCTCAGCCGGGGAAAGGAGGAAAAAAAAAAAAAAAAAATCCACTAAAAAAAAGGCCTTGAGCATGGAACCATTGCAAAACCATAAAAGAAGACCCCTAATTACTGATAAGGCAGCTGACTGCACCCAGGGCCCTTGAGGCCCAGGGCCATGCAGAGCTACCAGGCCAGGTCCCAGCCTTTCCTGGCAGAAGCCCTCCAGATTTATGGCTTCACCTTGCACCTGCTTCTGGCTCATGCTCCTGGGCTATCCTCACCACCTCCACGGCTGCCAGGAGGAGGAAAACCGAGTGCCTGGACGGAGCCAGCCCACCCTGTGTGGGCTTCCCTGGGCTTCTTAAACCCCATCTCCAAAAGCATGGCCTGCGGTGCCCTGGCCACCTGAGGGACTTCCTCAAGGGCTGCACCTGAAATCCGAGCTCAGAGCCCAGTCCTTGGAGGCGGTGAGTGCCCTGGCTCTGGCCTGTGAGGCTGGAGATGTCTGATGACTGGCAGCTTCCTGTGCACCTGGGTCTTGCCCTCACAGGTCCAGTACCGCAGGCAGAGGCCGTCCCCACAGTCCCACTCAGGACACCCGATGTCCGTTTAATGCCCCCTCTCTGGGCCGTCTTCACAGCCTGACGTGCACAAGTGCAGCCTCTCAGTGCCTGATTCTGCTTTTCCCCTGGCTCCCTGGAGCAGCCAGGCAGAGCTGCTCAAGCCACCTAGGCCTTCAGCAAGCAGACAGGTGCCAGGCACTGACATCCCTGGGGCCCCTCCCAGCTGAAGGGGACCTGGGTGAGCAGACCCTCCCATGGCCCCAGGGCTCATTCTTTGTGCCTCCTCAGAAGGCCTTGGGTGATACCAGCGCCTGTGTTCATCAGCTTTCTGTCACTGTGGCAGCATGCATAGCAGTCAATTTAAAAGGAGGAAAGGTTAATTTTCGCTTGTGGTTTCAGAGCGTTCAGGCCACGGTCAGTTGGCTCCATTGCCTCTGGGGACCAAGCGATCAACACACCAGCCTTGGGTGGGAGCACCCCGCACCCCAGCTACAGAAGCCCAATGGCGCACAGCGGCGTCTGTGCAACACGCTTCTGGGTCGGCCAGTTCCCCTTCCCAGTTCCGTTCTTCCGTTCCCTGGCGCTGGGTCGCACGGATCACTTCCCAGATGCGCGTGCCGACACCCAGCCCCATCCGGTCCTCCGCTCTGGGGGAGAACTCAGACTAATACACAGGTTTATGTCCTCAGACACCAACACGACACCAGGATGCCAGACTCACGTGCACTCTAGCTCCCTAGCTTCACTTGCTCATAGCAAACTTGTTTCGGAGGCCACAGCTGGGCCACAGGTCATTGGCTCCCACTCACTTTGCTGTAAGATGACGCTGTGCCCAGGTTACTTTGCAGAAGCCAGAAGTCCACTTTGGCGAAAACCTTGGCTTCACTGGGGCCGCAGGTGTCTGAGGGTGACTGGAAACAAGACGAGAAGCTTCTGTGCCTGTCCTCATGCTGCGTCCTTCCTTCGCTGTCTCAGCTCTTGATCTGATTCTGCTTAACGGGGCACAAAGCCGTGTCGACTGTTTCAGAAAGTTTTCCCACCTGGGTGTGGCGGCTCGTGCCTGTAAATCCCAACACCGCTGGAGGCCAAGACAGGAGGATCCCAAGTTTTGAGTCCGGCTTGGGTGATTTAACAAAACTCCATCCCAAAATTTAAAAAATGTAAAAAGGGAAGGGATGTAGTTCAGTGTGAAGGTCCTGGTTCAACTCTCAGTTCAAAAAAGAAAGAAGTTCCATTCAAACTGTGGTGAACACAGGGTGAGCTTGGCTTTTCGCTCGTTGGGGCTGGTGTGTATTTTCTTTTTGTTTTTCTCTTCCTCTCTTCTGCCCTACGCCTGTGCTTTTTCAGCAGCCACAACACCTGACACAGGGCCAGGGCTTTTTATGCCAGTCAGCAGTACCAGCTACATCCATGCCCCTGGCCAACGGAAACGGCCAGACTTTAGCCCATACCAGCAGATCCTATTCTCCAAGCAGCTTGGTCCCAGTCTCAACAGTGCGGACCCCTTTCAGCCAAGGCCCCGCCCCAGTAGACTCTGCCTGTGCAAGTGGGCTTCCCATCGGGTTTGGCCAGGCCTCCTTCCCACCGTCTCTGGGTCAGAGAGTCCTTCGTCGTGATTCCCTCCTGCAGCCTCAGTGTCCCAAGTTCCCAGAGTCCCTCGAGCAGCTTGTCCTTCCCCCAGAGCCCCCACAGTTTGGGCCTCTCTGTGCCCAGGGCTCCAGATGGCTCTGTGTCCCTGGGCCTTTGCACTTGCCGCCCTCTCTGTCTGGATGGTCTGCCCCTGGCCACACTGCAAACATGCCCAAATCCTCCCTTGGTTTCCAGTCCATTCACCAAGGACGTTTCCTCAGACCCCTCCTGCCAGGATGGGTACAGGGCACCCAGCACACCCCTGCTCTCAGCTGCTGCCGAGCTACGAGTGTGTTTTACTCTGCCCTACCCCAGCCGGGGCGCATCGCCTGCTTGCAGCTGTGCCCCCACCTCTGAGGTCTGATAACCTGAGGAGAGAGACAAATGCTGCACAGAAAAGGCATGATGTCCTGGCCGCACCCCTTTCTTCTGGCCCTCTCCCCCGTGAGCGCCTACATCGGGGAGCTGAACGCCTCCTGGGGCGCCAGCCAGCTCCTTGGCCCCTGCCCAGGGCTCTGCAGCTCCCGCCTGGGCACTGCGTGCAGGATCCCTGCTGGGTCAGCCGGGCCGAGCGCTTCCACAGCCTCATCATCTGGAGAACGAGCGTGTAAACATAGTAAGTGGTTCCCCTGGCAACCAGCACAGCAAAGGGTAACCACTAGGGTGGCCATGGATGCCTCAAGCCAGGCGCAAGACAGACGCTGTCCTCACCAGCCACTGCCCAGCCCCGGTGGCCTGGGTACCATTGGACCTGCCTCTCCCAGCTTGGGGGCTCCTTGGGGACCCCTGCTTGGAGCCCAATGGGGCTCTGCTCTTTCCACCTCCCGTGCTGAGCCCTGCTCCGCCCTAGGTCCAGCACAGCCCGAGAGCAGCAGGGCTCGGGCTCTGGGTGTGTCCTCCTCTGTTTGGTTCCGAGAGGACAAAGTGAGCTGCAGGAAGAATGAGTGAGAAGCCAGGGGACCCTCTGCAACCCGAGGTGCAGGAGCGGGGTTCCTCGCACAGCCCCCTTCCACCCGGACAGTCCACTCTGCCTCACTGCAGAGGAAGCCGGGTCTTCTGGGGGCCCCATCCCAGGGTGGTGGCCGGAGGATGCAGCCTGCCGGGCTGGTGGCAGAAGCGCAGAAATCCTGAGCAGGAAGGTATCCTGAGGTCCTTTCCAGAGAGACTCTGTTTCTCTTTCCACATAGTTTCTTCTAGCCCCAAGGGCTTGAACCCAGGCCCTTTGCACTGAGCTACATCCCCAG